TGCTCGTTAATCGCTACATAGCTTCTAGAGTCTGTGCGGAAAGAGAATGGGCGTGGCGAAAAACGGATTTTTATTTGGCAATCAAACCCAACAATCTTTAAAACGTCAAAGTTTTGTATTGATACGGATTTGTTTGTTGTTGTGATTTCTTGCGGTTTTTTGTATTTAATAATGTCTAAAAGGGTTAAAACCTTACAAATACGATAGAAAAGCACTACAGCGCCCTCCAATCTAAATACCATTCTCTTTCCGCACAGACTCTACATAAACAAACGTAACGTAAACGAACGTAAACAAAAAAATCGTTTTAGTGCCGTCATATATCGAGTAATTAAGCAGTCAAGCAAGCTTATACGATTATGGCAGTGCTTTTGTTACAAGACTAGCATTTAAGCATGCGTACTTTAAATTGTCTAACCTAAAAAATAGTTTTCTTAAAATTCCTTAGATGGAGCGTGCGGTAGCAAATAATAATAATAATAATAATCTTTATTTGTTCTTCCACAATCTAAAAATTACATGACAACTTATTACACTATAATTTTATATCAGAAAAATAAAATAGATTGTGAGAGACTGGTGCCTGAACTAAGCAGAAAACCTGTATCTCAGAGCACCAGGACTCTCCCTCCCCTGGAGAATGCACATTTAGCAAATTATAGGGTCATCTTAAACATTTAAATTTAAATGGTAGGTATAGGATGAGAAGAACACATTTTATTACAATTGTGACACGATTACCTTAAAATAAAAATAAAACACCAACAAAGCTTTGACTAAACAAAGCCTACAAGCAACAATTTGATTTAATGTTATAACTATAATGTACAAGCCATTTTAATTATATTTTATTAAGTTTGCATTCCGAGTCGATGCACTCTAAACGCTGACACAGTTGATCCACTAATTGGTTTAAGAACAATATTTTACATTATATGACAGTGCAATAAAGGCATTCACATCATATTGACGTATTTTAATAATTATCTCCTGACAATCGTCCCGTGACTAATTGATATATTGACAGTCGTTAGGGTCCTAGTAACGGCCTCTACATATAACGAGTGTGGAAGTATAATTATTCGGTACTTAAAATGTGAAAGCATGAGAGAGATAAGGTTAGGCTTAATTATCTATGGATGTGTAATAAACCTTTCGTTTCTAAGTATGTTTGGGAATATAAGAATTTAGTAACACAGATTTTACAATTTCTGTTTGTGTAGTGGACAATGTTTAATTTTGAGTGCAGCAAATTATAGCAGTTAGGGCCCAGAATTAAAAGAAACGGTGTGCAAAATTAGTTCTACACCGAGGCGTGGCAGCTACAAGATGATTACGCTGAGCAGAGTGCCGGGAGGGATCCACCGCGCTGTGTTGTTTGAGAACAGTATATAGTATAAATAACTGTCGGACGTTTAAAACTTGACATATTTGATATAGTTCTGTAGTTGGGAATAAAATAGGTTTCTTAATACATATTTTAAGTACTGCTCTTTGCGCACGTTCGAGCTTTATTAAGATCGATTTAGAGGTACCTCCCCACGAGGTGATGCAGTATGTAAGGATAGATTCGCAAAGGGCTTTATACACCGATAGAACCAGAGTCAAGTCAGCTACATGACCAAAATTTTTAAAGACGTACATTAGTTTGCGTAATCTACCTGCAATGAGATATACATGTGCAAGGGACGTTAGCTTGGAATCCACAGCAACACCCAAATATTTAACAGTCCCACATGCCTCCAACGGAGGACAGGCACATGCATTTATTGAAGAGTTAGGATGGCAGTGGGTTATTAATGAAAGATCCTTAATCAATTTCGGTGGAATATTTTTAATTGACATTATCATATATTGGGTCTTCAGGATATTCAAACTCAGAAGGTTATTTCGAAGCCAGCAGGATACCTGACCGAGACCATACTGGGCATAGTGGAAGGTCTCCCTCCAAGAGCCAGATGAGAAAATCAGTACAGTGTCATCAGCGTAAGAGATGATCTTGCAGTTGGGAATTTGAAGAGAAGTCAGGTCATTGATATAAATTGGAAAGAGTGTTGAGCCAAGGATACTTCCCTGCGGTACTCCGTATTCTATGTGACAGTCAGAGCTCTTGATACCATTAACAGTAACACACTGATAACGATCAGTGAGATAGCTGCTGAATAGCGATAGCTGTCTGCCTCTAACTCCCAGACTTTCTAGTTTGCTCAACATGATGGGCACAGAAACCGTGTCGAATGCTTTAACAAGGTCTAAGAACACGGAGACAGTTTTTCTGTTCTCATCAAGGTTCCTTGCTATATGATCCGTGAGTTCGTGAACGGCATCTGCCGTAGATTTTCCCGGAGTAAAGCCGTATTGCCCAGGACCCAATGCGGATGTACTCTTTAGAAAGTCCATTAATCGGATTTTGATTAGGCGTTCCAATATTTTGGACAGTGCTGGTAATATAGAAATGGGACGATAATTATTCGGGCAGTCTTTTTTCCCTGACTTATAAATCGGATGGACAAGAGCCTTTTTGAAAGCGGAAGGAAAACAGCCAGTATCTAATGCGAGATTACAAATATAAACAATAAGAAGTATGAGTGTATTTTTATAGCGTCTAATGAAATTAGTGGAAATATCATCCCATCCGACAGCACAGTCCACCCTTAAAGACATTATGGCACTCTCAACCTCGTCCACCGTTGTACTTAGTAGCACAAAGGAATTTGCAGGGGACGAAGAAAATGTTGGTGGATGAAGATGTCAATGTGAAAATGGGATTTGGAGTAACTACAGGGGGAATTTGACTTATAATATCTTCAGCAAGTTTTTTGCCGATATTGGCAAAATAGAAGTTTACATAATCCACCGATTGCTGCTGTGAGTTTTTGCACGTCAGTAAATCACTGGAGACGTTGTTGGGTTTATTAAGGTGAGCAACATCGCGAATAGCGTTCCACAACTTTTTGCTATTTGTCCCAGCTCTCCTTAAAAGATCCTTATCGTATGTGTTTTTTACTTTTTTTAACAGTGAATTACAGAAATTTCGATACCTACGAAAAGTTACTCTAAGAATTTCATTATCCGGATTAGATTTCAGACGTTTATGCCTGGAGTCCCTGTTTTTAATTGATCTTAATAATCCAGGGGTGATCCAGGGTTTCAAGATTTTGCGACGACGTGTGATCATAATCTCATTGGAGTGTGAATTGATGGCTGACTGAAGTATACTTATAAGATTTTCAGTGGCTGTGTTTACATCGGATGAGTTTAGAACAGGAGAAAAGTCTGTTTTGCTAAGACAGACGGCTAGTTCCTGATGATTAATTTTCTTTACAGTGTGAGATTTTTTTTGAGTTTTAATTTTGTTAAGAGATAGGAGTACGGCATCATGATCAGTCACCGATGAGTGGATCACAATAGTTTGCGCTGCCAGCTTAGATTTTAAAATAACATGATCGAGATATGCGTGATTCCGGGTAGGTATGTTATGCGCAGGCAAAAGGCCATGAAACGCTAAGGTGTTTAAGTAATCTTCACAACTTGCGTTGAAGGGGAGATATTAATATTGATATCACCCGTTACTATAACGTTTTTAAAACTGTTTAAGGATGTCAAGACTGTATTTAAGGAGTGAATAAAATTATTTGCGTTTTGGAAAGCACAGGGACGATAAACAGTTATCAGGGCAGTATCATTACCAATTTTTACCAATAAGCTGCTGCATTCATCAAGTGGTGGTTCAGATATGGAGATACCTGTGAGGGATGAACTGTAGTAAACCATGACTCCATCGTTTTGATTGGAAGGATTAGAAGATGTATGAAAACAGTAATCGGGTACAGTGGGGATCATCGGATTTTTTTGAAGCCAACATTCTGTGTAGACCATTATGTCCACAACGGTATTTTATTGATCTAATAGGACACAAAAACTGTCCAAGTTAGCAGATTTACTTCTAAGATTCTGAGTTATAATTTTTAACGATTTGTGATTTGATATTTGTGCGTACGCTTGATTTGGATCACATGCATGAGAAGAATTAACTGAAACATTGTCCAGATTTGTAATTACATCTTTGGTAATATTGAATTTTAAAACTTAAAGAGTTAAATAAGGAACAAGAGAATTGGACCTACGCCTCAATAACAAACAATTTTTGTGCATCAAATAGTTTTGTCCAAACATTTTAAAAATACTATTTCGTTTTGACGAGTAGTATACTATTGATGCATTTATGAAACTTGATGTAATAAACCATATTTTTTAATTTGCGAAAAATATAACAAAATTAAATAGTATATTAATAAATAAAACTAGTTTTAACGGGTTAATGCACAAACTTTATTTATTTATTGACGTTTCGCAGCTTTTTCAGGTCTGCATCGTCAAAAGGCTGCGAAACATCAATAAATAAATAAAGTTCATTAACCCGTTAAAACTAGTTTTATTTAATGCGTGATGTGCGTGAAAACCTAAGAAACAAATAGTATATTAATGTTTCATTTAAAGTGATTAGTTTAATAATGTCTTTGAACATAACGCACATTTTCATTTTCATTCTTTTATTAAGCTATTATTAACTTTTCGAAACAATTTAAGTAGTATAAGATATTTAATTTTGACTTAGAGAGTTGAATTTTAAAACAGGTGTTGTCTTTAAGATGTACCTAGTCATGCGGGACTTCTACGTGTTCACATTTTTGAAGGTGTCACTTCTATCGAATTTGAACAGAACCTGTTTTTTTTTATAACACTGTCGAACTGTTCCTTGTTGACTCGGAACCCTAAAAATAATGGAAGTTTATTTTGTTGCTATGGACCAACAACAGGTACTCCAACTTGAGGACGGTAGTAGAAAGTTACTACTGAAATTCCTAAGAATCACCCTCCAGCTTTTAGGAAAATTTAAATTTGAATTGAATAGTAGGCGGCTACTTAATTCTAATTTAAATTTGGTTTACCGATTCGCAAACAATTTCCACTGTAACTTACTTTATGGCTTTACTTACCTCAACTCTATTCTTAATTCCACTTGATCTACGGCAATCGGCTTCATGCAGTTGCTTACGAAGATCATTTTTATGTGAATTCAATTCTGATACTTCGCAAATTAACTGTTCGTTGCGCAAATTCAAAGTCATCTTTTCTTGTTCAGATTTCCTGATAACAATAATAAAAAAAAATCAATACATATAGGAAAATCACAATCAAAAAGAAAAAAATACCTTAAAAAAGCCACTATTTCATTTAATTCCACTATAAACTCTTTTTTCACTTTATCCAGAGAGTACGATAACATTTCATTTTCAGCTGCGTATTCTTTTAACTTCCTCAGAAATGATTTGTTCTAAAAAAATATTTCAGGTTTAATAAGGATTTAATACATTTTAAATATTTGAGTGATATACTACGTTAATGACAAGTTCATTGATACTTACTTTTTCCGATGATGATAACGATGAATCTAATAAATCAATAATTTCTTTATTCTTGAATAATGTTTGTTCGCAAGTTCCAATTAATTTTGATGGCATGATGTATAACTTTTCTATTGAAATTGGTGCCCGAGTAGCAAAATCTGTAGCGTAAAATTCATTATGAAATTAGCAATTATGAGAGAGGTGATATGAGTAGTAAGTTCTTACCTTAGTTTGAGTTAAGGTTTTACTAAACCCTAATGACACATTTCTTTGTCTGTTATTAAGAAATATTTAAGTTACGAAGTACCATTTTGTTCAGGACAAGCGCACAACTGCAACAATTGTTCAGGTGTCATGTTGGTAACGTTGATTATCTGCAGCTCGTCCGGGGATGGCAAAGAGGTTTTGTGTCCCAGGGCTGACATCTTCTGATGAGTTTTCCCCAGGCCAGCGTATAGCGCCATTATCACTCTCTAGAATGATTTGAAGATTGTTTAAATTATTGATTTGGGACATATTCATCAGATTTCTTTTTCGTCAGAATGAAATATAGGCTGTTTTTTTAGGACCCTATCAAATTATTCATGTTTCTTTGCTTACGAATAGAATATCTTGGTCTTTATCAACCACTTTTAGTAGTAGGTAATCGAAGCGAAATGTAGTCTAACGAAGAGGGTGAGATGCAGTATTGTTCAAATTAAATACGCGCAGTCATGGTAATTCGCTGGGCAACATTTTATCATTATTGTTGATGAACAGCTTCAATGCTGCTGGAGCTATTGATTGACTGTGCAGAATACTAGCTTTATACAGGGTGTTATAAAAATACAAATAAAGCTTGAAGGGCGTTGAAGTACATCAAATAAGTCTTCTCTAATGTTCTTAAAATATTTGCATGAAGTTTTAACTTTTTATAAAAACAGTTAATTTTAATGATAAATAAAAAATATCGATCATTTTGAGACACGTCACTAGTTCGAGGATCATTAAAAATAACTGTTTTTATAAAGTTAAAATTTCATGAATTTTTTTTAAGAAAATTAGAGAAGACTTCTTATATGATGTACTTCAACGCCCTTCAAGCTTTATTTGTATTTTTGTAACACCCTGTATTAATTAACCATCACTAGACATAATTATTCACCTGTTTTTCACTTAATTCATTCTTGACCTTTTCAAACTCTAAAATTTTCTCCTGCCAGGTTATTTTCAACTGTGTCAACTTTTCGTTTCTTGAAGAAATAGAATCTAAAATGGAAACAAATTTAGTAGGTTTCTTGGGTCTCATAAGAAGGCTCAAGGTCGCACAGCGGGCAATGGAAAGAGCGCGGCTTGGTATTCCCCTGCGTGATAGAATCAGAAATAAGGAAATCCGCAGGAGAACAAAAGTAACCGACATCGCTCGAAGGATTGCTCAGCGGAAGTAGCAGTGGGCGGGACACATAGCGAGGAGAACCAATGGCCGTTAGGGCGGAAAGGTTCTCGAATAGCGACCACACACCGGACAGCGCTCGGTGAGAAGACCCCCCACCAGGTGGAGCGACGATCTGGTGAAGATCGAGGGAAGCCGATGGATGCGCGTGGTACAGGACCGATCGATGTGGATATCGTTGGGAGAGGCCTATACTCAGCAGTGGGCGTCGTACGGCTGAGATGATGATGAGATTCTTGATTCTTTATTTTATTTCTTGGTGGCGAACGGCAGTGGTGTCGATTCTGGCAGCATTCTCTAAACTTAAAACTAAATTTAATATCAGTCTGTCCTTTTTATTCTATATAGAGGATGACAAGGATACACTGTTGTCAAATTTAAGTTTAGCTTTAGAGAATCATGCCAGAATCGATACCAGTGTCCAGGAAAACCAATACTGGTTTATGAGACACTGTTATAATTACACTTAAGCTTATAATGTATTTCTTTTAATATAATAAATAAATTTAAAACAGAACTCCTTATTTTTAATTTCAAATTGATGTAAGCATAGATCAACTTTATGGTTGTTGAATTAAAGCTTTACTTTGAACTCTATCGGCAGAAGAGTATTTACAATTTACTATCTAAAGACCTTTGTGCTTTGAAAGATCCCAAAGTCCATTGATACCATTTGACCCGCAAATGGTGGGTGGACCTTTGAATGGGAATTATTATCACACACTCGATAGGATCATCACCGAGGTGCGACCAAAGATTTGGGTGCGACGCTCAAAAATACAGTTCTTACCATGCGTCGGCAGGTATTTCATTAGTTTTCCTATAAATTTGAAAGAGAAAAATATTCAGTAAACGCATTGACCACAAAATTACCTGTATCGTTTGGATCGCCTGCTTTTGTCTCGCTTTGTTGTAACTCCAAATCTTCATGTTTGTTGATTATATCCTAAATTTAGAACAGAGATAGTGATATAGCACAGATAGAAGGGAGGATGTTCGGAAAACTGAAGTCAAAGTGTAATTTTATGAAAATTTCTGTTACATTTTGCAGTTTTGTGTACCTGCAGTATCTCTTTATATGATGGCCTCTTTTTTTAACTTTTCAGCTACCTGAACTATTTATATTAAAATAATAAGATCCTTACTACACAGTGTGGCGTAGCGTGGGTATTAGCAACCGGGCGGGGTTGTTTTGCTGTCGCGTTAACCGGGCTAAACCCCACTTTTTTTTCTTAACATTAATATCTTGTCAAACGTCGTTATAGCTATTCAGCATCTTCCTTTCTCCGTCAAAACCTAAACATTTTCTGAATATACTAAAGAATGCCGCCAGTCCTAGTGCCGCCCAAGACAGACCGTTCCCACAGCCCCCGCTACGCTATGCCCCTTGTCTCCCTTTAAATAAAATCTTTCCAAAAATATGGTGCTCACTTGATTAGGTAATCGTGCTGCCCGATTGGTGTAAAGCATTCTTGTCGGTTTCTGCAAAGAAATATTTGCATTTTAACAAATTTTCATTAAATCTAAAGAAAATATAACTAGAAAAAAAAAATCCACGCGGACCAGGCAGCAGACGGGACTCGAACCCGCACCCTTCGCAATCCGGGCGAATGCACTGACCAATTATGCTACCGCGGCCCTCACGGACCGCGTCGAAATTCTTTCTAGCTATTCTTAAGCTTAAATTAGCTTAGCTTAGATTTAAACATCAAGCAGTTACATGCTTTAAAAATAATAAAAATTATAAATTTTCATTAATTTCCCCAAGAAGACAAAATTACGTCACTTACTGCCTACTTACCGTCTCATTCATGATTCTTTTAGGTATAACAGATGATTTCTGTAAAGAATAAGGTTTGAATATTCAATAAATTGAACATAACGATCTCAATAACATCACAGAAGCTTTCTACCAACATACAGCAATTTAAGTGATAGGAACACTCAAATAAAAGGATGGTTCCTGGAGCAATAACCTTCATATTCGAGAAAATGGTAGTTAAATAAAGTATTGGTGGAGTTGTGATTCTGTCGGTTAAAGTGAGGTTTCCTGCGTTTGAGGGGGGTAGAAAAAGGGTATGGCAGCACTATCACTGGTAATAGTCTGATATGTGCATGTGGACCCTAGTATTGGAAGCGTCTACAGGGTTGCAGGAATTGTTTTAACTCGTGCGAGCAGCATGTCTGTCATTTTAGTCGAAAAAAAATTGGTGTGCTGATACCAATACAGAAAACATTTACCAAGTTTTTTGTCTCGAAAAGAAAATTTAACATGACAGCGTTTCATAATTTCCGTTATAAAATTTTACGATGGTTTTATTAATATTCTTAAAGGACATACTTTTGCAGATAAATATTTTTCCCGCTCAGGACGCGACGATCGCATGACACTATGAGGCGAATTCGGCGGTGCTTTATCGTCCTTCATCTTGTTAGCAGATCTGGGACGGCTTTGCTGCTGCTGCAATTTTCATTCGAAAATCGTGACGTATATAATTCAGAGTTTAACTTCGAAGCCTCGATTGTTCTGCAGTAACCAATCAGGTACAGAGGCGCCAAATGGCTAGAATATACGACTTTCTAATTGAGTTATGGTATTTTTTTAAAGGGACCAGAGCAACAATTTACTGATGTCAAAAATGTGTGGTATCCAATGAAAAACGATAAAAATCCTTTCACTCATTTAAATAAACTAAAATCCCTTACCCCGTAAAGCTTAAAGACGATTTGCATGAACACATAGTTTAAAAACAATACGCTAACTAACCTCTCCAGATCGAGGTCTCGTAACAGGTTTGGCGGCAAAACGTGGCTGCGTCGATGGTACAACCTGCAGCAAAACAGTTTACATGTAGGTACAATAAGCATTCGGCATTTACATCTTCTGAATTCAATGCTATAATACACATAAGTTCCAGTTAAGAACCAATGTTTTCAAAGTTTTATCACACTAATCACACTAATATCATAAAGGCGAAAATTTGGTATGGAGTTAGCTAACACCCTGGATTAACACATAGGCTACATTTTACTGCGAGAAAAGATTCCTAATAAACCGCAGATAACACCGCGGTGCACAGCTAGTGCAGTCATAAAATCACCATTATCAGAATGAAGAAAATTTCTGGGAACACTATCAAAGAATATTTTACAAAAAGAAGATCATCATTTAATAAAAAAAACTTTTACTGATAGATTCACATTCTTACATACTATTAACTAGTGGCCCGCCCTCGCTTCGCTTCGGTGTAGAGCTGAAGTGTAGACTACAGTTTTTGTTCTCAGGCTTGTATTATACACAATGGGATTCATCTATGATTCTTCTTGTACCTGCATGCAAAGTCTCAGCCCGATCGGTTTAAAATTGACAAAGTTTCATACAAACTTTCATTCCCTAATTTATCCCCTTAGTGGTAGAATTGATCGAAATCCTATCCTAAAACTTAGCGGATGCCTACGTCATAACATCTACCTGCATGCCAAATTTCAGCCCGATCCTTCCAGTGGTTTGGGCTGTGCGTTGATAGATCACTATGTCAGTCAGTCCCCTTTGACTTTTATATACATATATAGATAAAAACGGTCATTTTTATTACCTGTATTTATAATCAAACTAAAATTCTCATATTTACGTTATATAATCGGAATGCTCCGAACTGCTAAGCTATCAGGAGTTACACGTGTTATTGTGAGTCAACCATAAAAGATAGACATATGCTGTTGCGGGATATTTTTTAGACAATTTTATGTAGAATATTTCCGTCATACATAATTTCTATGTAACTTTAACCATTAAGGCTGCACACGCGACGGAAGCTGAAAAAATGGAGTAACTTCTCCCGTTTTCTCAACATTTCCCTTCACTACTCTGCTCCTATTGATTGTAGCGTGATGAAAAGTATACTATAACCTGCCCAGGAGTATGAAGAATAATTGTACCAAGTTTCGTTAAAATCTGTCGAGTAGTTTTTGTTTCTATAAGGAACATACACACAGACAGACAGACAAAATTTTTACTGATTGCATTTTTGGCATCAGTATCGATCACTAATCACCCCCTGATAGTTATTTTGAAAATATATTTCATGTACAGAATTAAACTCTCTACAGATTTATTATAAGTATAGATTAGTTAAAACCTGACCTAGACTCAGATAAAGAAATCGTTACTCATTTAAAAAGTATAGAAATATCATAAATGAAAATCTGTAACAATTACCGGTGACTTAGTATTGGGAGCAACCCCAGGTTTCCACTGGGGCTGTTTCTGTCGTCCTACTGGTAGCCGCTGAGGGACGCAGCTCTTGAACGACCTCCTTACAGCATCCGTTACCTCTGCGGCAAGTAATTTTTATTTCAGTATTATATGATCTTGGACGAAGATAGGGTCTGTATAACTCTATCCACCCTAGAATTCGAGTGTTCAAAAACGACTTTACCGACTTAAACCTTTAATTCCATAAGAATCTTAACTTCTACAGGACAACCCTGCTTCTACCCTAGGAAATATCTCTAGCTACGCCAATGGCTATAATAGGTATCCAAAAGTCTAGTCTAGTCAATAAATAAACCAATTTACCTTTTGACTTTGCTTCATTTGGTTCTAACTTTGACATATTATTTCACATAACTAAGAAATTTAATTAATTTCGCAAATTAATAAACTTGGCGAACAAACAGAAATTTTATAGGCTTTCCAAAATAAACATTTATTTTGTCACTTTGACAGACAGAACTTGGACATGAAAGAAGTTAGACGTAGGTATATGCCAGGATTACACTCCCGACTACAGAGTTTTTAATAAAATCGAGGCAAACCTTTATACGCGAAATTGACAATTTCCTAAATATTATAAAAAAAACGTTGGCGACGTCTGGTTTTGAGTTTAGAACTTCAAACCACTATCAAAATTCCGACAAAGAAAATATCAAAATTGCTATGTTTTCGTTTTATTATTAATAAAATATTGTGTTTCGTTGAGAATACGTAAAACTGCGTTAATATGACGTCGAAAGCGCAGAAAGAGAAACCTCGTAAGTATGAAAATTATGATGTATTGTTGACATTATATTTTACCCTATGATTATATACTACACTCCTAGATACCATATTAACTGTACGGAAGCTTCGAACAAAATATCTACTACAATAAATATGGTAGATACGCTCGTCGCTACACACTCACATTGACTGCTTTAAAGCAATCTGACATTTATTTGGATTGCTCTATCTAAGAGTATTTATATAGTCAAAGATTTAACCTGAGCTTTTAGTCTTTTAGCAAATGTTTTAATTTACCTTTTTGAGTGTAAGTCGCCAGTGTGTGTCGTTACAAGTCGTGCTCATTTAATGAATTAATTATAAAGTCGCTTTCTTGAACTTATTTGTCTTTATGAAAATGTTTTAAGTTTGAGCTTTATTAAACGCCACGTCTGTTACAAGGTACGTATATTTCTATTCCCTGGCATGACCATCGTAACTAGTGGTCTAGAAGAATATGATATATATCCGATATTCTCTTGTGGACATGCTAATCACTTTTGTGTAGGTGAATAAGTAGCACTATTGCATATCACATTTTTTTAAAGCACATTCGCATGTAACTTGATGTTACCTTTTCACGCCTAGACTTAAACTAATTAAAAATATTTTTGGTAGTAGATAGGCTGGATGTGAAGAAGAACATAGCCACTTTCTGTTGTGAAATTACTTATGACAAAATGGGTGTAGTAAAGTGTGCAAGTTCAGATAGATTGCTCCACGTAGATGAAGTGGCGGCTAGGACCCACTAGTTCATCATAATCTTGATAATTTGCATCTAATTTTTATCAATTCTGTATTTTTCATTTACTGTCTTCGACCACATGACGGGGCATGGACAGAGCAGAACATCACTTTACAGAATAATTGTAGGTATCTTTTTTGTCGTGAACTTGACTAATTAAGTCCGATTCTCTGTCCTACCAGGGGGAATGGGTAAAACTACGGGAAGATATACGCATTTAAGTAACTATCATAAGTTTAAACTGTGGTTTCAACTAACATTAAGTCTTTCGTTCGCGAGATACGGCAGCACCTCGTCTGACCCCTCGCCCGACTGCTGCGTCGGCGGCGCGTGCTGCTCGCAATGCTACTAACAGGAACCTACTGTTGCCGCAAGCACAGAGGCAGTCACCCACCAGGTCCCCCAGCGGCGCAGCTGCAGGTGCCTCCAACGCCTCTATCAAGGTACATAATCAGCCTATTAATGTCCTCTCTCCTAGGTCACAAGGTAAAACTGTATCTCTGTGTCTCTATTAACGTTTTTTCTGTGTCATGGTTACAACACTAGCCTATTCTAATCTAGTGTGAATTGTCAACGGGCTCAAGAAGTGCAGTTTAGCTGGGCAGAAGCTTCCCTATGGATGGCGCAGAAAGAATGGGCTATGACAGGACCCACCATGTGGCCCCAGTACAGATGGGTTGGCGCTAACGACTGCAGATGCAGCTGGGACCAACGGCTTAACGTGCTTTCCGAGGCATGGAGAAACTCGAGATATTTTTGGTCGCCCATCCAGTGACTGCCCATTGCGAAAGTTGCTCAACTTCTACGATCGCAGACCGAAGGCGCATACCATTCGCCCGATCGAACTTCCTCGAAAGCATCAAGGTAACTGTTTCATAAATATACAAGAAGTCTTCACTCTGAGAAGCAAATTCTTTTAGCCCACTTTTTTGTTTTCTCTTTGCTTTATTACCGACTTGCTATGTCCACTATTAGGTAATGAACAGAGGAAATGCTGACTTATTTATCTGCCATCCAGAAAGAGTCAAATATTATTTCACTTTACAGGCTAAAGGACCCATACCTCGGAATCCTTCGAGGTGTGATTCTAAATCTGATTTGAAAGTAAGTCTTTAGATTTAAGCATGTAGCAGTTAAATGCCTAGAAATAAATAAAAACTTATATAAGTAAGTTTATACTCAAGTAATTTATAACAGTCTTTCATCATCATCATCAGCCTATTAATGTCCCCACTACAGGGGCACAGGCTTTCCCTATGGATGGAATAGGGAGATTGGGCCATGACCCATCAAGCGGGCCCAGTGCGGATTGGTGGGTGCTAACGACTGCAGATGCAGCCGGGACCAACGGCTTAACGTGCCTTCCGAAGCACGGAGGAGCTCGAGATAGTAATTTTTGGTCACCCATCCAATGACCGACCACTGCGAAAGTTGCTTAACTTCAACGATCGCAGTCGAACGCACTAACCACTTGCGCCATCGAGCTCCTCTAACAATCTTTACTTTTATTCATTTATTATTGTAACAATGAATATCAAACTATTCCACAGTTAAATCAAAATTCTTGCACCGTTACATTGGATGCAGATAGTGAAAGTAAAATAATTGATGTAGGTTCGGTATATGACATATGCTGTGTTTCTTAGGAATTAACCAAAAAAGACATCGAAAGCAAGTAAGTGACAACATAAATGAGATACTTTAGAAGTAATCTGGTATATTTTCATTTACAGGTGCCGGCCAAGCAAGATTTGGATACGTACATAGTAGAAAACGTATCAGTGGTAGTAATTGAAGAAGTATCTAATAATAAAGTTATCGATTACGAAACTGCTGCCATTGAAGAAAGTGGTGAAACTGATAAATTCGGTAAGCATGATAAAAAATTAACACGATGATACATAACTTTTTATTATTAATTGTTTTTTTTTTTATTTTAGACGATAAAGTCAACGAGGAAAACTCACGTGATCTTGGAAAAGAGAATGTTGATCATTTGACCGGTAATATTTTTGTATGTTCTTTTACGAGGTACTAGATAAATAATTAATCACCCTGATCATGTACTCGCCTCCAAAAAAGGAGACTTTAATTTTTAACTTGGTTGTAACGACATAAAAGGAAATGTATTTCCGTTGTACCGAATGCACCATTGAGTTGCACCATTAATGATGCGTTTGCCACCCTTGATATTAATACTATTTCTTCACCATGCTTTCCTCGTCATAGGTAAAATAAATAATAAGACAATAAAAGGCCGTATTAAGTTTGAGTGTAGAATCACTTCTTATTATTTACAAAATCTTTAAATACATTTAACAAAGAAAAATTACAAATGTTTATAAATGCTGAAAAGAACAATAAGTGAAGATACCTAATGTTCAATTAAAAAAATGAATAAATAAATAAATGAACTGAATATGAAAAAATAAGATTAACCGATTGATATATTTAAATCTGACCTTTGTTTGCGTGTGTTACTACCAATCTAGAATATTCAAACGGAATCAATCATTTTCAATTACACCTTTAATGGTGCACGTCAATGGTGCATTCTGTACAACGGGAATTTAGTTCTGTCAGAATTTAAAATAAGTTACTATATTTATTTGTAACGAGTTAGGAACTAGGGTTACGAACGAAACCCTGTTACCTATTGTAGAGTTCCGAATACAAGTTGAGCAATTGCAATAATTCTTTTGATTTTCAGCCCATTTGCCGCCCTCTCGGCCGCACACTCCGGCCCATGGTAGTCGACCGCAAACACCGAAGAGTCTCCCCAGCCGGCCGCAGACGCCATACCAGTCGAGCCGACCCACCACGCCCGTGCATCCGCACCACGGGACCCCGGCCAGTCGACCCAACACCCCTCGTCTCTCTACCCCGAACAGGGCTAATATGGTAAAGTGCTATTACTCGGTACTCGTATTTTGAGTCGATGATTTTTCGTTGTTTGACTTTCTTTTATCACTTTACAGCCACAAAGTGGGAGCATGAACATATCCGCCTTACCAACACATGACCGACTTCCGACCACCAACTCCCTGCCCAGCCCTCCAAAGTCGCCAATTATTGAAGACGAAGACATTAAATCGGTTTATAATATGAAGCAGAAACAATTCCAAAGTATGAAGAAGGAGCTAGATTTGAAGCAGGTAACATGCTTCTGAACAAAATATTTTAATGTAATCGCTTTAGATTATTTTCTGTTCATGGACACTGGATAGAGATTTGTTATATCATTAATTTTCGCGAAAAGTTTATGTTACCTTTGAGTCGTGTCCAGTTAAGGACATAGTTTAATTGAATTGAATTGACGACCTCCGTGGCCGAGTGGTTTGTACGCCGGGTTTCATGGTGTCGCCGACTCGAGAGGTCCTGGGTTCGAATCCCGGTGGGGGCAGATGTTTGTGTGATGAATACGAGCATTTGTACTCCAGTCATGGATGTTTAATATCTATTTCTATATAAATATACTTATATATGTACAATATATGTATTCTATCCGTTACCCTAGCATCCCATAACACAAGCCTTATAGTGCTTACTTTGGGGCTAGGCTAATTGGTGTGTTGGAAAAAAAAAAGTTACATGAGCTGCAGACTTCTACGTGATATCGCGTCGTACTAACCACGCTCAACTGGCCGACCTAAACCCATATACTTGAGTCTGATGACTAATGCCGATGATTACTCTGATCACTCTCCGGATAATTGGCAAACCATTGCGAATAATGTAGTCATATTACTTTATAAGACAAAGTCCAGCCCGGCAGCAAAATCTGTATTCTGTGAGTGGGTCATTTTCCAATGCTCCATGAGGTTGCGAATTTGGGATGGGTTAAGATCGCAAGCGTCTATACTCTAATAGGATATGTTGGCCGTTTAACGTCCAGGGGGATAAAAACGTACGTCAGCCACGTTTTTGAAATAGAAAAACAGCTTCTGAAGTATTTTCTTGCATTTCATTTTGAAAATTGTTATATAATTTTTGTTACCTTCCTTATTTTTTCGGTACATAGCAAGCCGTATTTGCTTTGTTGATTATTGTTGCTTAATTTTCGGTCATCATCATCATCCGTACGACGCCCACTGTTGAGCATAGGCCTCCACACCTCCTGCGCCACTCGTATCCATCTGCTTCCCAGGACCTTCTCAAGATCGAGCATCATCCTGTGCATGGTCGCTAAGAACCTTTCCGCTCATCCTAATTTTCGGTATCTATCTGCAATACAGCAAGCCGTGCTGGAAGTTTTCGAGAATCTCCGCGGTCTGCGCGAGCGCATGGCGCAGGAAGGCTCGTCTGGCAGCGGGGAAGGTCTCCCGCAGCAGGAGCTGGTGGTGTTTAACGTGGGCAACTGGGCCGCTGACGAGGTGGCTCAGCTGTGTCGCGACGCGGCCGCCGCCATTACACCCGGCGCCGCTGACGTAATCAACAAGATCATGCCGTTGGGTAAGCCACGCTTAGGGCCACCTGCACTTGCACATTTTCAATTCAAATGTGGTGCAGCTGTGCCGGAACGCAGCCATGGCCCGGCACTGCTGACTTTTATAACGAAATAGTGCCACTAGGTCAGCGACGCTTAGGTGGACTCCCACCAATATTCTCAATGCAAATAAAAGCATAACCCTGTTTATGCGACGCGACCGCCGCCATTACGCCTGGCGCTTCTGTCGTCATCAACAAGGTTATGCCGTTGGGTAAGTCACGCTTAGGGCCACTTCCACTAACATTCTTAATTCAAAAGTATTTGCGCGATTACACTTGGTCGTTTTTCCAAATACGAGTGCCAATAGAATTTAGGTAAACGACTGAGAGTAAATGAACGGAGTCTAGTATGCCCGTATTCGGATAGATTTCCTTTAGTTTACCTGACACCGTCGTCCAGCACGTATTCCAGTGTAAGTATTGCTTCGGGTGCCCGAATTCGAGTAACGTCTTTCGTGTACCCGAATATGGGCTAACGACCAAATGTAATTGCGTCATAAAGACGAGATGGCGTCAAAGAATTTATATATGGTACCGGTAATCTATATAATGCAGATATTCTAATTATATACAATAATTAGGCAATATACCTGGGGCCTGGGGCGTCTAGGTAATGTATGAAATATCATGGATATTATTTTTCATTTTATACTTGTAATCGCGATTCTATAGAGTACCTGCTGGTCCACCGAGAATGTGTAAAATAAACAGATTTAGCCTGTATTCATCCTAACCAAACCAAACATAGCCTACTCAGTTGCATATAAAATGACGCATGGATTTTATAATTCTCACCGAATGAATTACAGACTAGTGCACGTTTGACCAACTCTCAGTAGGTTAGGTTCTTCTTCTTCTTCTTGCTACGGGCGTTTCCGCAACTCGACGTCCTTATGGCGCCTGTTTTGCGTGAGGAGGGTGTATGGCCGGAATCACTCCAGCCAGCCCAGCGCCCCCAGGAACGCCCCCAGGGCCTTCACATTGGTGACTGCCTCTTGAAGGTTTCCCGGTGAGCCGAGGATTTCGCCCGGTATTCGGCCACTCCGTTGCATTCCAGCAGAACGTGAGTAGCTGTTTCTTCTGCCTCCATGCATCCTCTGCATAGGGGGCTGTCCGTGACACATAAGTTGAAAAGATGTCTGTTAAAATGTGCATGTCCAGTGATAGCACCCGTTACCATGCGCAATGTAGGTTTGCTTAGCTGTAGGAGAGTTTTGGAAAAGGCAGCGTTCACCTGTGGCAAAGCGAGCTTGGTCTGCCTGCACATCTCCAGGTTGAGCCAGTATTGCTGGTGTAGTTCGGCAGTGTGTTCGCGGATTTTATTGACGAGACAGCTTACCGGTATTGGGACGATTGGTTCAGGACCTGTTGGGATCGTATCAGATCCCTTCCGGGCCAGCTCATCCGCAGCGTTGTTTCCGCGTGATCCACTGTGTCCCTTGATCCATTGGATGGTAATAGAATTGCTTGACCCTACCTTGTTTAAGGTTTGGTGTAGATCATGAGAGCCTTGTGTGTTACCTTTGGATCGTTGTCATCCAGTAGATGTATTCTGTACTTTTTGTCAAATATGAAGGCGGGTATTATTTTGTCACATGCAGCATCTATGAGCGGAGTGTTTATCCATTCCTTCAGTATACCGTTGAGATGCCTTGCTCTTTCGAACCTTACCAGTCCAAGCTTTTGTAGTCTCAACGCTGTTTTAGCCGCTTCCTGTCTTATGTAGATATGGAGCGGTGTGATGTTTGAAATAACATCCAGTGCTGCGGTTGGAGCTGTACTCATGCACCCGGTCACCGCGCTGCATATCTGCCGCTAGAAGCTTTGTAGTTTGTTGACACAAGTAGTCTGGATAGATCTCGGCCACCATATGATGGCGCCATAACTTACCATTGGTCGTATGACTGTGTAATATAACCATAGGAACAGTTTTGGTGCAAGACCCCAGCGCTTCCCTAACATTTGACGGCATTGCCAAAGTGTTACGCTGACTGTTTTGATTTTGTGTTCCACATGGTTACTCCAGTTTAGCTTACTGTCAAGTATAAGGCCTAGATACTTTACCTCCTTCGACAGTTGTGGTGTGATACCAAAAATCTTCGGCAAGTTGAAAGCACCTACGTCACGTTTGGTTGTAAACATTACCAGCTCTGTTTTTGTTGGATTAACTGTGAGGTCGTATTTCCTGCACCAGCATTCACCCAGTTTCAAAGCACCTTGCATGGTGTTACAGGTAATGCTGGCGTGGGTGCCTAGGGTAAGTATAGTAATGTCATCTGCATACTCTATGGTGTAGTAGTGGTTCGAGTTTAGCTTGGTCAGCAGGTCGTCAACTACGAGGTTCCACAGAAGTGGCGAAAGAACCCCTCCTTGCGGACATCCTCGTGCCACCAGTGCTCCTCTGCTGTCCTCACCTTTTACCCGAACTATTCTATTGCGAAGCATGTTAACTGTCCAGTCAATGATTTGTTGCTCTACTCCGTGTCTCCTGAGAGCAGACTCAATGCTGGTGAAGTTGGTCTTATCGAAAGCACCCTCTATATCGATGAAGGTTCCGAGGCAGATAAGTTTATTTTGAAGGGCTTCTTCTATCTTACCGACTAACTGATGGAGAGCCGATTCAGTAGATTTACCTAAACTGTAGGCATGTTGATGTTTGTGTAGTGGGGCATTAATTAATGCTCCACTGCGTAGGTATCTGTCACATAGCCTTTCCATTGTCTTAAGTAAGAAGGTTGTTAGGCCTGAATAATTTAGGGTTAGTATAGTCGGTTTTACCCGGTTTGGGTATGAATACTACCTTGACCTCCCTCCACAGATGTGGAGTGTACCGATGAGCCGGACATGATCTTAGTATACGAGTAGCCGCATCGATCACGTCCTGTCCGCCCCATTGTAGTAGTGCTGGAAAGATGCCGTCAGAGCCAACAGATTTGAAAGGCGCAAAGCAGTTAATAGCCCACTTTACTCCCTCAGGCGTAATTACCGTCTCTGCTAGTCTCCAGCATCCTTCTGTTGTACTTGGAGGTTCATCTTGCCAAGTCACCTGCTCTGTAAGCTGGCAGTCCGGAAAGTGGGTTTCTAGGGGGATAGCGTCGCAGTCAGCACGATTGTGGGACAATGTGCCGTCAGGTCGACGCAGGCTTCCTAGCACGCCAGGGCCTTGCTTGGCCAGCAATTTCCTTACCCGGTTTGCCTGGTTGGTGGAGCTTATCTCCTCGGTGAAGTTCCTCCAGGAGGCTGTTCTCCAGTATCTGATACGTTTTTTGTACTTAGCTTTAGTAGCTTTGTAGTTGTCCCAGTTTGTGCCGCTGCATGTATTCATTGCTCTGTTAAGGCACTTCCTCACCTTTCCTCTCAATCTCTCGAGCTCCGGCCCCCACCAGTGGTGTTTTCCGGATACTCTCGAGTTCGGGAGTCTAAGGGGGCAGGCCTCTTCGTAGCAACGCGTTATGCTGTCTGTCAAGTGTTTTACCTGTTGTTCTAGCTGCTCCGTGGTTTCAATTCTGCCCTTACCGGAGTTGTTTCTTAGAAGGTCCGCCAGTAGTTGTGCGTAGCGGTGTTTATCGGTTTTCCGAGGATACCTTTGGGGTGTAGGAGATAGAGTTCCTACCTGTAGTGTGAAGCGGATCCAGCGGTGATCTGAGCATGATGCCTCATCGGAGACATGCCAGCCAGATATAGCTGTTGCCGCTTTTGGTGTCGCGAGGGTCAGGTCTATGATGGTCTTGCACCGTCTGCCTACGAAGGTAGGTTCATTATCTGTGTTGATTAACTCTAGGTTAGTAGTCAGGAGGAATTCAAATAATTGGTTACCTCTGTTGTTGCTTTGTTCCATTCCCCACACAGGGTGATGGGCATTGGAGTCTGTCGCGATGATCAGTTCTACGTTTTCCCGAGCACAGAAGCGGACCAGAGACGCAACGTTTTCTGGCGGGGCCCGCTCGCTGTCAGGCATATATGCAGAGGCTATGATCACGTCACAACTGTCATTATCTTGGTTTAGGGTCACTTTTACAGCGCAAAGATCTCTGGAACAGAAATTCATTAAGGGCTGTGTTCTGAAGTTTTTGGAAATGTATATGCAGGACCTTACGTCGCTAGTAGTGGCTTGAACGAGCTTACCTCCTATGCTCGAGAGTCCTCGCACCGTGCCACTCCTAATCCACGACTCCTGGATTAGTGCGACTGCTGTGTTGTTGGTCTCCAACCACCGCCGAAGCTGATTACCATAGCGGTTACGCTGTGGTGGAGATTTATTTGCAGTATATTTGCACTACTGCAGAGGGACGCCATCGTCCTGGCAGTCGACGTCCTCAAACCCCAGCCCGTCGAGCTCCAGGAGACACTCCTCACTAAGCGGCGAAGACGCCACCTGCGAGGGTCCCGGAATTTCGACAGCCGGTGACGAGGCACGTGGAACGACGCTGTCCGTGGGGCCAGCGCTAGATGTAGATGGTGTTGGGGGCGCTGGTGTAACGTTCGCCGTGGTTTGAGCCCCGAGTGGTGCTGAGGGGTTGGACGTCGGCAGAGTGTCGACGTACTTCCCCTTGGCGTCCCTGAACTTCAGGTACACCGACCCAAACATAAAGCTGAGTCGGCGTCCCCTAGCCAGGATCGCAGGCACAACGTCCTCAGGGATCGAAACCACAACGAATGTGGCCCCGATGGTAGGCTGCTGTTGGATGCCGTTAAGCAGCCAACGTTCGGGTGTTAGGTCTGGATTCCCGATCTGTAGGCATTTGCCTAGCAACGCCTGATCGTGTTTCCAGAGCTTAGGCAGCACAAAACCACACCTGACTCTCTTGGGGATTTCGTCGTCCCGGAGGACAACAAGCTCTCCCAGCTCCGAGTCGTGGAGGTCTCGTACCACCTGTTGGAACCACCCAAACGTTGCGGTGTTGGTGCAAGTAAAGCGAAGGCACCAGTCCGCGTAGAGGGGTTTCCCGCTAAATGCTAGACCCTCCCTCATACAGGCCGGACGTTCCGTGCTCATCGCTGCCTGTAAAAAGGCTTCCTCGAGCTTCTCCTCAATTTGCTCCGCCGTCGGTCTCGAGATAAACCCGGTCTTCGACGTGACGGCGCACCTGATGAGAGCCGAGGAGGCCGCTGCAGCCGCGTAGGATTTTGGGGCGGTCTCGGTCGCCGTCGTCTTAGGCCGTTTGGATTCGCCTCGAGGAGACACTGTCTCATCGAGCCTAGCCCGCTTGGCCCCAGACTTCGTCTTCGCGTAGGTTAGGTTAAGTTAGTGTTGTGACCTAAACTTAGCGCGAGCCGAGAGAGCAAAGCGAGCGTGCCGCGGCAGCAGCCGGCGAAGCACCAGTCACCTGATATCTAATAGATGACTAAGTGTCGCCGCACACGGGCCACACGCCACAGCCACAAACGCCGCCACGAGAAGCTAGAAGCAGCTACTAAAGTGGCTGACAATGTTGCCAACTCGGATTTTAGATCATATCTAAAAAAAAGCTAAAAAAGAGCTAAATTTTTGTAGAAAAAAGAGCTAAATTGTTTTTATGTACCGTTTATTAAAAATCAATATAAACAACCTTTGTAATGAATTCGGGATCACTTTTATTTATTTTTGCTAAGGTCGAAACTATTTCAATTTTTTTTGCTGTAATACTGCACTACTAACCGAGCAGTTTAGTAACACTGATATCAGTGTCATCTAATAGCAAACTGAATGGTCCATCGCCTATATCTCTTTTTAATTCGGTTATAAAATGCGGACTTGGAACAGTCTTTATGGTAACACTGCATTTTGGTCTGTGTGATTTTAAGTTTTCAGCATCTTTGAATTGTTTATAACATAGTACACCAAGGCAATTGACAGATACTATTGAAGTATGAGCGCTTATAAAAAGGGCCAATGATCCTTCAGCGGAATTAACCCAGATTCAATTATCGGTTTCAGAGAAAAACCTAATTTTGATTATCCCGCTGAAAATGGTTGCGCCACTCTAAGGTGTTTTTTCTTTTTATATGATTAAATAAATCACCTTTTTTAGAATTAACCTCGCATTTACAGTGGGTACCATCATATAATAACTATAGACCGACCATAAACAATGTAGGTATATTTTGACTATGGAAATAAGTCTTTTGAGCTAAAAATAATACAAAAGGATTTATTCATAGTGTAAATGGAAAAAAGCTTAAATTGTAGAAAAGTAGAGCTAAAGAGCTAGACCTTCTTTTTTAGAGCTAACCAAGCTGATTTCGAGCTAAATCTAGCTCTAAAAACTCCGTGTTGGCGACAGCGGCCGACTAAGGTAAGGGCTCACCCTAAGGGGTGGGGAATCGCGCGAGTGACGTGTGGCGGCGTTTTGTATCGGCGCATTAAGTGGCCTTGCAGGTGCGGGCCACAAGAAGCGAGCAACGACGATTTGTGGCGTGTGGCGGACACTGGCGTACCGTGTGTGGCGAGTCCATATAAAATGTATGAAAACTACAAGAAATATGCAGGTGGCGGTGTTTTGTGGTTGTGGTCGGTGGCCTGTGTGCGGTGACACTATAACAAGGAAAAGTCGACGCACTGTCTACTCTTACACACATTGCCTACTTCGCATTCGGCATTGTATAGAATTGCAGGCAAAGTATACAATGCATAATATTTCATACATGGCCTTGACGTTTTTGGCATTCTATACATTGCCTAGGTATTGTATAGAATGCCGAAGTATACAGATTGCCAGTAACATATAATACACTAGTATCGAGACACGGGCTTAGTGCAAATTATCTTATTCATCAAATAAATATTTGACCTACCGGGATCGAACCCAGGACCACTTAGTAGGCTACATCTTGAGAACCAGTGTACTTACACAGTGTTGTAATTATTTAAATCATTAAACTGATTGATTATTAAATCTAAAGAAACCTACTAGAAAACACCCTGACACCATCGAGTGGTATTTTTTCTAGTAAATTTGCTTTTATAGTTTTTTCTTTATTTCGATGAATTACAGACGAAGGTACCTTTGCCGAAGTAGACGCGAAGCTTACTAAGGTTCCTGTGCGCTTTGCCGAATTATGTCTACAGGCGTTTACTGCACGTCAGGAAATTATTGACTGGGTCAAAGATCTTATAGAGAAACGTGTAAGTACAACGTTGCGATCCCCAGGGGGCATGTAGTAATATAGAAAATAATCAAGTTCTACTTATGCCACTATTTGTACCGTAAAAATTTTATCATATTCATGATAAACTGCAAAATACAAAACAAGTCAGTCAGTTAAGTGCGTTCATGGTGCGTTGTCTACGGACCATCATTAATTGTAAGCACTCACTATACGAACGAGGAGCTCTATGGCGCAAGTGGTTAGCGCGGTTCGGCTGCGATCTTTGAAGTTAATCAACTGTCCCAGTGGTCGGTCATTGGATGGATGATCAAAAATTTACTATCTATTTTTGGAGCTTGTCCAACACAAACAGCAGGGCCGTGTTTCGGAAGATGTGCGTGCCCTCTGAGATGCCATTGTGGTAAACGTAGGTTTCGATTACATAACTAAACTAACCTTTACAAAATTTGTAGCCAGAAGGATAAATTTCTAGCTGTTTATTATTCTATTATTTATTGATGTATTATTATGTACTAGTAGAATATATTAACCTCGTACTCACAGGGTAGCATTTTGACTACTTCTGCAAAATTTTAAAGCTTGTTATAGAAACATAACTTACTTAAACTACCATTAGAAACTAAAACTTACATAAAGAAATTTATACTTAACATAACTTTAACTACAAATTTGTAGAAGTAGAGAAAATTTTGAACACGTAGTCCTAATAGTTATTATACCTTCTAAATATTACCATTCATCAGAAGGATATAAATTGGTCAGGTGCAGTAATATGAAAATTGTGGTGTTTTACTTTTTTTTGTGTCTGGGGAATGCTTTACGCATCCTTCAACCACTGGGGGAGCGAGAAGAAGGTATGTGGGACTCCTCCCTGTTGATTTCAGCCAGCTCTGTGGTCGGGTGAAATAAACAGGGCCCTACCTAGCACCCTGGACAAGGCCACTAAAAACCAGACAATACTCCTGCACCATCACCCGACACGAGGACCGCTAGTGCATGCCGAGAGGGCGTGGTCGCGGCTCCCGTTTCCGAATGGCCGCGCACCCACCAGGTGTTTGTCCGCGAACGGACCCACCACGATGAAGATGCCCCGGAGCATCAGGGGCATCGACATCCTGAGAGCTTGTGCAATGCGAGCCCGTCCCCCCCGTCCCCCCAGGACAAGCTCGCGGCTCTCGCAGGAGTGAGAGGGAGAGCGTGAGAGTTCACATTCGGTGAGTCGTAGCGTTAGACTTACAACTATGGAATGAAAAGGAGAGATTGGCAAGTTTACAGATCGCAAATACGAATAGCCATGTGCAGTGCCGGCAAAATATAAACGCATGCTTATTTAATAAGGGACACTAAACTTGCACCGCTTTAAAATCAAATTAAGGCCTAATTGTGTTTAATATAATCGTTCCAATTGCCTATAGTCAAAAGAGATAGAATGAAACTTAAATATGAATTAAGGACTTTGCTGCACGTGGGCTTAAATCCGTCATTGGATTACTTATCGCTTTCAGGAAGACAATCCCAACGAAGCTATGGACCAGATCGCTCGATACAATGTGCAAGGACTCGAACTATGCGAGGCACTGCGATCTCTAAAAACTTGCGCAGACAGTGCGGTAGAATCGATCTCTCAGCTTTCCAGGCAAGTATGATGGTGTACTATTTAAAATAGTACTGACGCTTGTCCAAACATTTGTCGGAACTATCTAAGTCAACTATATAAGTTCTGATTAAGAGACAACGCTGCTCTTTTGGGTTCAGTACAAAAAAGATAACAACGGAACCATTACGAAGCCCTGTCATCGGCATCATCAGCATCAGCATCCGTTTATCTGTCAGCAGATTTTGTCTCAGGAATCATAAGAGGGCCATTAATTTTTGATCGACCTAATGTTAAATCTTGTACGATGGTAGAGTTCCCTTCGTGTGATCGGGAGTAAGAATGTCATCCATTATTTTCGAAAATGTTAAACAAAAATCATGTTTTTTTTTAATCTAGGGAAACCTGGCTCGCGCAACAATATTCTTATATTCCATAGTAGATAAACAAAGATTACTTGCATTTATTATGACTTTATGCTCATTTCTTACGCCACTTGTTTACAATCAAATGATCTCTTAACTATTATCACATCACTAATCGATATTTTTTCCCTAAATCAGGCAAACTTATCAGGAGCGCAGTGCCCTCATGGCTGTCGGGGAGTCACTCATTCGGGAGATAGCTCATCTCAGGCAAGACCTCGACGCTCGAACCGCTACAATCAACGAACTACAGCAGTTGCGGAATAGCAATGAAACAGTTAAGCTTTTGGAGGTAATCATTTAACGTCAACATAATGATCACAGAACACAAAAATGTTTTCTGTTTTCGGCATCTGTATAGATCTCGATATTGATCGATGCCATGCCACATAAATAATTCCGTTTATTTCTTGTTCTTCCATTAGTTCCGTACGTATGTAATTTATATATCACTAACATTAAAGACATTTAATTTTATACAGGTATTCACGTAATCAGTGCCGTCTTTGATCTATTGGAGGCCCTGGGCATATTAGGATGATGATTTAACAGTTTGGTGATTTAACAGGAACTAGGCTTGCCCAAAGTGCCCACTGGGAAAGAGGGCTTTTCACGTAATAATCCTATACGTTTATGAATATGTGACTTTGAATGCTCACGCTAGGGTTGGTATAAGAAATTATTGCAGACTTGACAATTCAGCAAATCCCTATTTAACCTTTTAAGGAGATAAATTGCAGAAAATCTACCAGCAAACCCGTTAAGGCAGGCTCGGGTTACAGGATACTACTTTTTTTTCTGGGGCAAGAAGTAGGTATCCTGTTATCGTAGTACCTACAGGTAATAAACTGTGCAAAATTTTATCAAAAATCGTTTGCTTTATTGGGTGTGTCTAACAAAATAAAAAAAATAGAAAATAATAAAATTTATAATAATGTTTGTCATAATGTCTCATAATATCCCATGATAATTAAAAAGCTATCACACTTTTGATGCTCCTAATATGAGAAATTGCATACGCGCATATTAGGATTAGATTGTTTGGATACTGCTCCATAATTGACACCTTGTACAAAAGGAGACACGTCGTGAACTAGAAGAGGAACGAGCAGCACGATCGGTGACTAAAGACAAACTATCCACCACGGAGTCTCAGCTTCGGCAAACGAGGATGCGAGTCTCTAAGATGGACCGGCAGTTGCGAGAAGCTGAAGCCAGCATCGCCAGTCTCACGGGCACCGTGAAGACCTTAGAAGATCAGGTAAGAAACATTGCGATTCCCAAATGCAAGTCCCAATTTCTAGGGGAATGTTTTCTCCATAACGACTTTTGACAAACTTCGTGGCCGAGTGGTTTGTACGCCGGGTTTCTTGGTGTTGCCGACTCGAGATGTCCCGCGTTCGAATCCCGGTGGGGGCAGATGTTTGTGTGATGAATACAAGCATTTGAACTCCAGTCATGGATGTTTAATATGTATTTCTATATAAATAAACTATAATATGTACAGTATAATTATGTATTCTATCCGTTACCCTAGTATCCCATAACACAAGCCTTATAGTGCTTAAAGCTTTGGGGCTAGGCTTATTGGTGTGAGTGTTGGAAATATTTATTTATTTATTAAATATTTGTTACGTATGAGCATGCGAATCAAAAGACAGCTTATTGCGTACTACTTTTATTCCAATGAACGTTGCGGGACGCAGCCCTTAAATACCCACATATGTAACATCCCTCCACCATAATTACAACAATATATAATAATAAGTTTTTCCGCCGGCCTCGGTCTCCGCTCCCGTTCCCTCTTCGCCACGCGTCGTCGCATGCGCAGGCGCAGTGGCCGGCGTGCCCGGTGTCGATGGTTGCGGGTTCGAAGTGTTGTTTGCAACATCTGGTACATTATCCAAATTCCACGTTGGCTCGACTGATTCACCATAAAACGGTCTTATTTGATTCTTATACCGAATAACATATTCGTCCGCTTCTGGTACATATATCCTGAACATAACATTTCCAATTTTTTCTACTATAGTACCTTCCAACCAAATATATTTTTTGTTATTTATATATCGCTTTATCATTACTTTTTCCGGTAAATCTCTCGTCGAACGGCCGCCATAGTATTTAGTTTGTAATAATTGTTTACGATGTACAGTCGAGGAAACGTCAGTCGATGAGAACTGTTTGGAAATTGGGTTAATTAAATCCAATCTACATTTTAATTTACTTCCATACAGTAATTCGGCTGGTGATCGACCAGTCGTGCTGTGAGTTGAATTACGGTAGTCAAATAAATATTTATTTATTTTATTTTTCAAATATTGTCGATTATAACATGATAGGATAATGCTTTTTATACCCCTTTTTACTATTTTTACTGCACTCTCGACTTGACCGTTACTGCTGGGATGATAAATCGGAGACAACACATGGCGTATGCCGTTTAATTTACAAAATTATTTAAACTTTTCCGAAGTGCAAGAAGTGTCGTTATCACTAACGACGATAATCTCGGGAATACCTACTCTAGACATAACTTCGTACAGACGTTCGATCACCGCGTCCGTTGTGGTGTTCGAATTCACACAAAAACATTCCACCCATTTAGTATACGAATCAACCAATATTAAATACATTTTGTCATTTGAAGGACCTAGAAAGTCGCCGCCCGTCGCCTCTAGCGCCGCGTCGATGCCCGGGAACCACAGCCGAGAGCGCGCTTCACTTTTCATTTTGGCTATTCCAAAATGTGAACTATGTAGCTCTTGAATAACTTTGTCCCGTAGGTTGCCTGGTATAACAACTTTATGTCCCCGCATCAAACAACCTTTTTCAATTGATAATTGCGACCTGCATAAAAAATAAGGCTTAATATTCAAATCTGTGACTTTGCGGGAGCATCCTGTTATTATATACCTTTAACCTTCTGTAAGGTAACGTCGCCTATGGTGGCCTCCCGTATTTGAGTTAACGTGACAGGTAAATCGCCTTCTACCACAAAGTTTATATAAGCCGCACGATCCTCAGATTCTCTCGCCTACTCTAATCCTGCCGAGGCACTGTCGCTGACGTTACTCATAGAGCGGCATAAATAATCCGCTATGTTTGCCGAGCTCGGGACATATGTAATTTTATAATTGTAAGCAGCTAGAAAAATCGCATAACGCTGTAACCTATTATCTGTTACTTCTGGTATGCCCTTTTGCAACCCAAATATCGATAAAAGGGGCTTATGATCAGTGCGTAAAACAAAGGGACTTTCCCTACCATATAAATACTGATGGAAACGTTTAACGCCAAATATTATCGCTGTGGCTTCCTTTTGAATCTGAGAATATTTTTTCTCAGCTACCGATAAGGACCTGGAAGCATAAGACACGGGACGCTCTATCCCGTCGCTGCCCACTTGAGACAGCACGGCCCCTAATCCATACGGTGACGCATCTACGGATAATATTACAGTCGCATTTTGATCAAAATGAGCTAAAGTATTGTCTGAGGTTAAATGTTCTTTAATTTTTTCAAATGACTGTTGATGTGTGTCGGTCCAAACCCATTTAGAATTTTTATTTAATAATTGATACAATGGGTTTAGTATAGTTGAAATTTTTGGAACAAAAGACCTATAATAATTTTCTAACCCCAAAAAAGATTGCAGTTGACTAATGTTAGTGGGAACAGAAGCATCTATTACAGCTTTCACCTTGTCCGGAGACTTACGTATGCCATTTTTGTCGATAATATGTCCTCAGTATTGTAGGTACCTCATTTTGAAAAAACATGCACTTATCCTTTCGTAAAGTTAGACCTGCCTCACTTAATCTTCTTAAAACTATCCTTAACCTATCCATGTGTTGACTCCTATTTCCAGCCGTTATTAAAATATCGTCTAATAGTCACGCCACGCCGTCTAGCCCTGCCACGATACCCTGCATGGCCTTCTGGAATATAGCGGGCGCACTCGATAACTCGTGTAGTATACTCGTGTATACACTCGTGTGTGTAGTGATAACTCGTGTACTTAAAGAGACCCCTATGAGTATTTATGTAAGTTATCAATTGACTTTCGTCGTCATCGCATAATAAAAATTGATTGTACGCACTGGATAAATCTAATTTTGTGAACTCTTCACCTCCATGTAATTTTATAAAAAGATCATCAACCGTAGGGAGCGGATATTTTTCGATAATTAGTTGCTTATTTATAGTGGATGAGTAATCAGCACATAAACGAATTTCCCCATTGCTTTTCAATATGGGAATTATAGAGACGCATAGTCAGAATATTCCACAGGCTTTATTATACCTAACGATAACATCCGATCCAGTTCATTATCTATTTTACTTTTCAATGCGTACGCGACCGGCCAGGCCTTACAAAAAACCGGTTTTGCGTCTTGCTTTAATGATAATTTTATTTTATATTTAGTAAATGTCCCAAGTTTTTTTTCGAAAACAGATGGAAATTCAGATGCCAACTCATCCACATTCACCTTTTCACTATGACAATTGTTAATTGAAGAAATCTCCAATTTAAATTCTTTAATAAAATCCCTACCTAGTATTGGCGGGCCGACATCCTTCACAACATAAATATTGAGATAATGCATTTGACCTAAATATGAAATCGGCATGCGTATAGTACCTAAAGTTTTGTTATACTACCCCCCGAGTAACTTGTTAATTTTTTTGTTGATTGTGATAACGGCACTTTAGCGAAATATTTATTATAAATTTTATCCGATATAGCAGTAACAGCCGTCCCGGAGTCGATTTCGAATTCTAATTGTAACCCATTAATGTGAATACGTTCAACCATTGGTTTTGAAGCTGAATAACACCTAATATGAAATAAACTTTTACCTTCACAATTTTCCTCAACCGAGTTCTCCTCCACGTATTTTACTATATTATGGGACGATTTGTTTGTATACATACGCCGCAGGTGACCTTTTCTACCACACTTTCGGCGGCTAAAACTTTTGAACCTACATTCCACTGATTTATGATTTTTGAACCCGCTCACTGTACACTTGACACCACCATAAGGTTTTTCTTCGACGACCTTGAACACCGCGCTCGCAGGTGTCGAAGGCGCGCTGCTCGCGGCGGCGCGCGCGCAACGCACGCTCTCCGCCAGCTCCACCGCCTTCGCCAACGTCAACTCCTTGATGTCCTGTGCGAATAGCTTATCGCGCTCGGGACCGCTCGCCATACCCCTTACGAAGCGGTCTAGCAACGATTTCTCTAGGTTGCTAAAACTTCAATACGCCGCCAAGCCTCTTAATCTCGCCGCCCACTGTGCCTCGTCTGTCTTCTGGACTGCCGCATAAAATTTGGAACGTTCTGCGAAGCGCAACGTTTCAGTACGAAATGCTTATCCAGCGTCTCCAAAATAGTCGCGTAGTCAAATCTTCTAATTTCCTTGGAAGTGCCAAATCACTAGCGAGCTTATACGTCGACTCGCATAACGTTGTTAGTAATATCGCTCGCTGCTTGATGCCTGCTTTGTCATCTTCCACAATGCTATTTGCTATAAACTATTGATTTAAACGATGTTTAAATGACACCCAATTCTGGCAATTGTGGTCGAAAGTCGACGAAACTCCAAAGTATGTGGCCGCCATTTTGTCGTGCGCAGGTAAGTACTCTCGTCGCCACTGTTACGTATGAGCGTGCGAATCAAAAGACAGCTTATTGCGTACTACTTTTATTCCAATGAACGTTGCGGGACGCAGCCCTTAAATACCCACATGTAACAATATTTAATGCACATGAATGATATACTATCAGCTGTTTTATTCCTTATTCCACTCTATGGCTGGAGCAGATTATAAGGCGCGGGACAGACAGAAAGACGTAAGACGCAGGCGGGGCGAGTACATTGTTTAAAACGTATAGAAGCGTCACGTATAATATTAGAAAAAGGCTTCTAATTTTGTTGAAACTGGCAACGCCGCGTCCGTCGGCGTCTTCTATATTTTCTGTTTGTCTCGTTAGAGAGCCAAATTTTCTTTGATTCTTTATTTTTTTTTTATTCAATAGACACAAATAAATAGAATTTATCTTTTGACTATATCTACATTGATCTATTTAACATGTAGAGTCGACAAAAAGAAGTGCAGCTGGAAGCACGTGCACGGAAATTGAAAGAATCTTTGAAGACTGGTGAAGTCGCCAGTAGTCATATAGCACAACAACGTGATGCTTTACAAGCCGAGTGAGTATCTACCAAATTAACAAATCAAAAAAAACATGAAACTATATTAAAAACATACTGTAAAGCTACTTATATCTTTTTACAGAGTGGTACAACTCAAAGAACAAATTGAAAATATGACAAATCAACACAAATCAATGGTACAGGAACTTACAAATCAAATAAAGGAATTGAAACATACACTAGAAGATCAAAAAGTTATATACCAAAAAGAAACTGAGCAAAAACAAGCGACACAAGCGGCGTTACAGGACAGCCAAAATATTATCGAAGAGCTCAGAGCAAAGATTACTGAATTAGAGAACAGTAGAGTAAATCCAGGTGGGCTTAGTGAATAATCAAGACCGAAATTCGTAATTTCCTTCCTATCATCACTAAAATTGCGCTAGCACAATATCCGTTCTTCCTATAATTGATTATTTCGATCTAACGGAGGATAAATAAACATGAGTGTTTTCAAAACTTCTGCATCAGATTTACATTCGGCTTGCGCAAATATTATCATGTCTCCAATTTTCGCTCTAAGCTCAAGTGGCTTCCTATCAGACGCAGGAATACTCACATACTGTCACTCCTCTACAATATTTTGTTCAATCCCTCATCCCCGCGCAATCTCAGAAATAGTGTTTTTTATATTTATTATGTCATTAGTCACAAATTGTACTATATTTTAATTTTAGCATGTAGTTATTAAATATGTAAAATTTAACACCCACACCTTTTCAGTTCCTGTCAAACTTTCCACGGTTGTCTGTAAGATATCGCTTTTAGCGATAAGACCGCCTGTTGTAACATATGTGTTATAATAAAGTGCTATCTAATCTAATTTAATGAAAACCGCATTTTTAATTACATAGATTATTGTATATTTATTATTAAAATAGGTATTGTGTTTTAGATTTACCTACGGAAAGGGAAATGGACTTATGGGCAGAATTGCAAGCGACAAAAGAGACGTTGCGAATGACGGAGGACGAGATGGCAGCTTGTAAACGAGAAAAAGTCAGATTTTTGGAAACAATGACAAAGATTGCGGTGATTATTAATAATGTTGCAATCTGATTTTATCTAATAGATCTATTCCATTTTAAAAGAAACTTATTTTTTTCAGTCTCATATTCCTGATATATTTTTTTCAACATCTTCAAGGTGATTACATCAATGAGAGCCATAAATCACAGTTATACCATATTAATATTATTTTTCTGATTATTTTGCAGGATTCAGATAACAAAGTAGCAATGCAGAAGAAACTGGCTGCCGAACTTCTTAGTAAAGAAGAAATATTTAGCAAAATGCAAATACAAATGAGGGAGTTAACGAAAAACATTAAATTAAAGTAAGTTATTCAACCAACATTTTTAAAATATTTTACACACAACATATCTCATCACATTTCATTTCATTAACATATTATATTGATTTATTATAAATAATGTTGATTATTGATATTATATTCTAATTACTGTAGTGAACAAAAAGTCGCCCAATATGAACAATATGTACGGGACCTACAAGCTCACAATCGTGCGGTAGCCAACTGTCAAGAGGCCCCGAACGGAATTAGTTATCAGGATTTGCAACAAGAGGTAACCTGATTTTCTATATTTATCGCAAAGATAAACTTACACGAAAGTTATCCTAGAAGACGCCGAACATATGACACTTGCATTTTCACTCTCACGATAATTTAACCCTTGCTTGTGAAAGTAGAAGGAAACCTCAGATTCATTAATCTTTAACTGTTTTATAGTAAACGAGACTTATACCAGGAAAATTTTAAATTCAAAGCGGAATGGTTAGCAGAGATAAAATAGCCGATAAACTTTTAGAACAACCTAACCCCGCTTTTTATACGTTCGATGATTTCTTTCAAAAAACTAAAGGATAACTTATATTGGAGTTTGCACAAAAATAACCATGATGTGAGGTCGAGCGAACATCATGACCCTCTCAGCTTTACCTAAAGCCGTACGATACTTTGAAATGTAATATTTTGATTGTAGATAATGAATCTTAGAATGAGTCTGCTGGAAGCTGTGCACAGGAATGAAGAGCTGACAGAGTTGCTGATGCAGAAAGAGCAACAACTCGAGCAGCAAGAAAAAACATCACGTGCCCAGGCAAGAGTCATAAAGGTTCATCTGTTTTACTAGTTCCTAATAGCCATTCCATTTTCAGTTCAGTTCTCATGATAAATAATGACCAATAATTTCTTTATCATATGAAGTTTTCATTTTCATTTAGGTAGTTATGTAGTATGGTATTTGATTGAGTTTATTCATATGTACAACATAACTGCAGACTGTCTAGAAGCCAAAGATAAAACATACTTAGGAAATGATCACTTTCTTTAAAGAAGACAGCGAGGTACTGGCAATAGCAACTTGTTACTAATTGTATTTGAACAACATTTTTTTTCTGTTTTTCACTTTGATCCCCGCAAGGGATATTTACAAATTAATACCAGGCAAACTTCGGACGAATCCCAATAATTAGTCCCAAACTAAGCAGTGTTTTTTATCCTAAAAACTATATAACGTGTATCACACTAATATTATAAAGGCGAAAGTTTGTGAGTGTGTGAGTATGTGAGTGTGTATGTTTGTTACTTCTTCACGTCTAAACGGCTGGAGCGATTTTAATAAAATTTGGTATGGAGTTAGCTGACACCCTAGATTCACACATAGGCTACTTTTATCCCGAACAATGTTAGGTTCCAGAGGGATTTTCAAGAAACTAAATTAACGCAGACGAAGTCGCGGGCGACCTCTAGTAATTTATAATAGCTATAAGTTAATAAAGAATCATAACTCGCAAACATATAAGATTGTGCCACCACACAAATAGATACCCCCTTACTCTAGTGGATTTTGAATCCAAAACCCTTGGCACAGACTGCAGGATCGCTTCGTATTGCATAAAACGGCCGTATGTATTGTGTGAATGTATTAAGTACAATAATATGAGTTAAACAGGTACGTGAAGAGCTGATCAACATGCTCAAGAATAAAGAAACTGAACAGAGCAGAGAGCTGGCCGCTCTACAGCAAGATCTAGAGCATCGAATGAATATTGTAGGCGAAGTAAGATGTGTTTATTTTTCTTTATTTTGTTTTTTCCCAGTATTCTAATTAATTTAGCTTATGGTTTTTTATTTATTTTTTTACGAATTGTCATATGATATTAAAGGTCTATCTGGTGCTTGCGATATCTTTTAGAAAGAAAATATATGCAATGCACATACAATTTGGGTAATTTATGAAATTAAATACTATCTTGATCTAAGTACTATTTTGAGCATTGGTGGATAATAAAAAAAAAAACCGGCCAAGTGCGAGTCGGACTCGCGCACCGAGGGTTCCGTACAAACCTGCAAGGTTTACAAAGTTCGTTCATTACGACAATCCTTAGAATTTTTTTTTTCACGGGTTAAAGGCAATTAGATCTAAGTATTTGATATGAATTTCAACTTGATAGCTCTACGCGTTCATGAGGAAAAAAGTAATAAGTTTATATTTATTAAAAAATATATATTTTGTAATGTAACTAAAAATTTAAGGTTTTCGGAATTTTTCCTTTATGTGTGCTATAAAACGTTGCTTCATGCCAAATTTCAAGATTCTAGGTCGACTGGAAGTACCCTTTAGGTTTTGATTCCCTTGCGAGTACTTGCGAGTTTCAAAATATGCAGCTTAAATTGCTGTTTCTTTTGATTGCGTTGACATAGAAGTTTGATTTTGTTACAGCTTAAAGGTATTATAGACCTGAGTATTTGCGCGTAGACGCGTTTATGAGGAAATGGGTAGTAAGGTTAAAATTATTAAAAAAAAATATATTATGTGATGTAACTAAAAATTTATGGTTTTCGTAATTTTTCCTTTATCTATGCTATAAGACGTTGCTTGGTACCAAATTTCAAGATTCTGAGTTCACGGGAAGCACCCTGTAGGTTTTGATTCCCTTGCAAGTGTCGAAAATTTGCGGCATAAACGGCTGTATCTTTTGATTGCGTTGGCTTAGAAGTTTGATTTTTTCACAGCTTCAAGGGACAGTAGACCTGAGTAATTGATATAAATTTCAGCTTCATACCTCCACGCGTTCCTGAGAAAAAGGGTCTTGACAGACGGACGGACGGACAGACGGACAACAAAGTGATCCTATAAGGGTTCCGTTTTTCCTTTTGAGGTACGGAACCCTAAAAATGCCGTATATGAGTGTAATTGTTAATTTTATGTCATTGAAAATGCTATTTTTGCCTTTGTTTTCTCGACAAATCATTGTTTACTTCAGGTAGGTTTAAATTTAAACTGTGAAACGCAAAGTACGCAAAAAAACTCGCAATATCGCCACGAAGCATACTAATTTAACGGAAAATTCAACAAGATACCTACCTACTATAGTTCGTCCGGTGATTATAAAGCGAGAAATTATTAAAATGACGTTAACACCCCAGGTGAACAATCAAATCGCAGCCAAGGCAGATGAGATAAAAGAGCTGTTCACGACGCTTGAGAACAAGCAGCAACAGATACACCGGCTGGAGAAGATCGTGCTGGCGCTGGAGGAGCAGCAGCGGCGTGCGCAGGCGCAGCGCACACGCCACGAGGAGAAGATCGCGGCACTCGAACACGAGCTAGCAGCTAATGGAAACCGACGGGAGCGGTTGGTATCTATCTACATACAGTCAATTGGGTCGTTGGCAAAGACATTCAACAAACTATTAAATCTCGTGGAGAAGATCGTGCTGGTGCTGGAAGAGCAGCAGCGGCGCGCGCAGGCGCAACACGCACCACATGGTCGGTATCCACTTACAGTCAATTAGGTCGTTGGCAAAGACATTGAACTAACTATTAAACCTCGTGGAGAAGATCGTGCTGGCGTAGCACACGCGCAGCGAGAAGATCGCGGCGCTCGAATATGAGTTAGCGGCTAATGGAACCAACGGGAGCTGTTGGTAACCATCTACCTACAGTCAATTAGGTCGTTGGTAAAGACATTGAAATAACTATTAAACTTCGTTGAGAAGATCGCGGCGCTCGAACATGAGCTAGCGGCTATATGCAAACCCACGGGAGCGGTTGGTATCTAAATCACGTAACATCCCTTCTCAATGTCTGACGCTTCCGAATATTTTTTTGTTTCCTATAGGAATATAATAGTGTGGGGGTGCCCCCACACTATGCAAACTGGCAGATCAATATTTTTTCCGTCCTCAGAAAAGTTACGCGAACCCTCCAGTAGCTACTATTCGAGAGACGATTTGGACGCGACCAAAAAACATGGTCGTTTGTTGTATTTTTTTTTTGCTGCCGTAGATGTTTGACTCTACATATAGTGCTCAGGTATGGTGGGAGTACTTCACAAGGCACAAGGCCTTCCATATGTTATTTTGCCGCGCTCGAGTAAATCCAAGAATCCCCGCTTTGGCTCCCGTACCAATAGAATATGCACACTGCACCTTATTATAAAAGCACTTAACATAGAAAAAGGAACACACCATGGTTTTTATGTAATTAGGTTAGCTTATTTTTTTTTCTAACTTATTTCTTTTTCGTCTATCAGGTAGATTATTATTAAAAAGTATTTAGTAATTTTTGACAATTGCTTACTTTTTCTACAGTATTTATCTGTAGTCACGTTAATGTAACTAAGTATCAAACAACGCGGCCCAAACAGAATTTTGTTTACTTCACCCCATCATCATCCCTTGCGGGAGAACAAAAGTCCCTGAATCATGAACAGAATGTTCGCTTAGGACTTGGTCACAGACTCAAAGCACACGATGTGCGAACGATTGTTGCCTGAAAATTTAATGAAGCGCATGCTGTGGAAGTCTGTGCTGTGCTGCGCATAAGTCACAAGTGTTAATTTTTTTCTGGGATATCTGCGTACTTTTGTCCAGTCCGGTCTCTCGGTATCCTCTGCTGTACGGGGGACTTCTTGTACGCGGTACTTTCAATCCCTCGTGTGCATTACTCGATGCAGTAGTAAGCGATCTATTTTGGCTGACAAAAAAACCGCGGACAATCAGTCGTCTGCACAGGCTATAAAAAACAAACAACCAAACATGACTGAGGAGCTGGCGAACAAAACGGTTTAATTACATAAAATTAAATTTTACAGGAAGTATATAAAACTGAATGACATACCTCCAGTGAGCTTTTGACATGGTTTTTAATTTATAAATTAAGTAACTTTAACACTGTTTTAGGGTAATTTTGATTGAAAATTATTACAGATTCAAATTCAACGGGCTAGAAACCTTCTTCTGGACTGTAAAAAAAAAGTAGTTTGACCAGATGCGTAATTATACCGTTTTGTTCGTCAGCTCCTCAACTTATACTTAACATTTTTTTACAAAAATATATCTTTGTTACAGGAAATATCTATTTTTCTGATAATATGGGGATCATACTTAATATTGAAAACACTATAAATTGTAAAGTGAATGTACGGTGAACTTTTATGTAAATTAATGTCCTTGTCTGTATTGTAATTGTTTCAATCCATAAATCAGTATTAAATATTTTCAATAAGAATGATGGCCGTTTTAATATTGGTATAAGTACTTAGTTGGTAGTCAGCCATCTTAATATCTATCATCATCATCATCAACAGCCTATCCTAGTCCACTGCTGGACATAGGCCTCTCCAATTGCACGCCACTCAGATCGATCTTGGGCTATAATATCTTAATATCTATACTAATAATAATAAAAATGGGTGCGTGTACTTATGTAGGCGCGTGAGAAGTTATTCTTCTTTGGCATCGTTTAAAATTAGTTTTTAATTGCATGCAAATAATTAATTACAATAAATTAATAAAAAGTCTGGAAAAGGACACAGTCAATAAAGTTCAGTTTTAATTTGAAAAAATAAATAAATAATCAAAATATTCAATTAAAATCGCTACTGAATATAATTTATTAGAACATATGTGATTTGCACTTGTATGAAACTCAAACACGTATTCCGAATATACAAACTAGAAACATGTGGATAAATATTATAAATATGAATACCTATAACTGTTACTTTATTACAAAAAATAAAGATGTGGTTTTTGGTTCTACTACACCAATGGTCAAGAGATGGCGCTGTAGTCTCCTGAATCGCGCTTTGGTTCCGTTGTTCCAGATTAATAAATACTTTTCATAGGCCTTCACAATGCAGTCGTTAGCACCCACAAAATAGATTCTATTTCTATTTTGTTGGTAGATTTTCTTAATGTGCGGTAAACACAAAAGTAACAGCATGAAGTTGGTCGCTTTAGCGACAAACTTCATGCTGTTAATTTTTTTGTGTTACAGTGATGCGCGCGCATCTCAAAATTTCACTCTCATCATTTTTTCATAACGCGCCTAAAGAAGTATAACTTCAAAAATACCTTATTGCAATTAATATGAGCATTACAAATAGCATACCTACTTATTACGCGTATAAAAATTGCTGTATTTGCAATATTATTCTTTATGATGTTGGCCCAATAAATAAATCGTAAGTTTGTTACCTCGAGCACTGTACGCAACTTTGTCAAAAATACCGCAAATATTTCGGATTATTTTTTCATATTGTGACGATTGTAACCCTAAAAGACTAGTTTAGACCTGATTTTGCCTACCGTTAAATGTTGCAACCCATTTTTTACCTAACCGGTACTTTAACTGAACAGTTAGTGTGAGTTGCACCACAGCGCTAGTTAGTCCTGAAATCTCACTAGTTCTGTTTTATTTACCGTGGGAAAGAAAGTAAACAATATATATTTCTATTAAAACTAGTCTTAAAATACTGTAAAAAAATTGCTGGCTCCAGCGGTCTGCTAGTGCTTCGGCAAGATGTTTGGCGAAGCTTTTCAACTGTGGGGCGAAGACTCCGTCGACTGAGGTTACCAGGGGGTTAAAGGTAGAGTGGCGCGACTCGCATGGGCCACAATATTTCCTCATTTTTTCGTCTTCGGCTGAGCGAAGGACGGCTGCAACTGGGCGTGTTGCGTAGGAGGGAGCGTCGGTGTCAACGACACGGACATCAAATAACGCCTCCCTCTGTGCGATCCACACCCCGCGGCAGGCCAGGTCTCCACGCAGTCTGGAGTCTCCTTCGGAGATGACTGGCTCTTTCGTGATGTTTCCCCAGGCCTGTTGACATAAATCACAGAAAAGGTCCCTTATCTCATTGTGTCGGCGTGTGATGAGGCCGCCTGTCTTGCAGCACAAGGCATGGTCTATGTTGAAGTTGTCGCTGCCGCAGCCGTCGCAGGACGCAGGCATGGAAACCGGTGTGCGGTGGTATCTTATGGCTAGGGCGTCCCTGAATTCGTAGGGTGACAGGTCGAAGTTGTCTTTTCTAGTGGGTATTATTGAGAGCCAGGTGGAGGTTTTTGTGTTCATTTTTGTCGCTATTGCTCTTTTCTTTTGGGGTGGTAATTTAGTCAGGATATTTTCGATAGTTTCATTGTCGTATGTTTTTTTTTCTTTTCTTTCCTTTTCTTGCGTCACGTAGAGATTTGTGGTGATGAGCTAGGTTTATGTCCTTCGATTCGGTTAGGGCTGTTGAAAGTGTTGTTGATCCTTGTTTTGAGAGGTATGCTAGGTTTGGGGTGTTGAAGGGGTCTGAAATGGCAAGTCCGCCTTTGTGTACTGGAAGTGTAAATAGTTGGGCTTCTAGTTTTGTTATTTCACCTCCAATTAATGTTGCCCAAATACAAGAACAAGACGAGACTTAGCCAGTCTTGGTCTTAGTCTTGCGCCAATACACCTGGTCTTGGTCTTGGTCTTGCGCTCCCAGTCTTGGTCTAGGTCTTGGTCTTGCAGCAAGAGTCTTGCAAGTCTGGCAATTACCTATTAGACTATTGCTATTTTTTAAGTTTACTTTAGATCTTAGAAAAACGTATTAGAATTGGAACATTGTGAGCTTGAATTAACATAGCCATAGTAAAGACCAATCAGATTAATAAGTGTCTGAAGATTTGATAAGAAATTAGAAAAATCAACTGCCACACGGTTATAAGGAGTAACTTTCTTAATAAACATTTACGCTTAATAAGCTTACATGTGCTATAACATGTAAAAAACAAATTAATTACAATAACTTGACTGTATTTTAAAGAATTTTTATTTTATAAGTAGGTACGCTTTTTAAATTATTTTATTAGTTTTGTAGATTTTTTTTTACACGTTCCAAGTATATTTAAAAGTGGCTACAATATTTATCAAACGGGTGATATTTGACTTTTTTTCTTGTAAAAACTAAGAAATATTTTGACTAAATGTACAATAATAGTACCTAAGTAATTAGTTTAAACCCATATAATCAATATTATAATATATACTTACTAGAATAAATTATTATGACATCTACTACCTATCCTTACCATTATCTCTATAAATAATTATCCTTATCATAATACTACTTGGGTGATCAGTATAATGTAGTAGTTTCCATTGTAAGCACTCTGAAACTTATTTATTCTTTGGAACACCTGTACTCTAAAATTCGAAAATCGAAGTTTGTGTCGTACCGTCTCGCTCGCTCATATATTAAATAGTATAAGCGTGAGTGGGACGGCACGACACGAAATTAGAATTTTGTATAATTATACCTAGGCCCTGTGGCGGCAATCAAATAGTGTCAAATGTTTAACGTTTTTCGGCGCGGCGGCAACGATTGTTGTATGTGATTTCAATGGAAGCCGCCGGCGCGTGTATCATCACCATGTACTTCCGAAAAGCGGCAAATTTCTTTGAGAAGTCAGTACAAAACCTTTGATGCCGCATTATCAAAGTACCGATGGTTAAAACAAAACTATGCATGCACTCTGTTTGATTTTAATGGACATTTTTTTATTTGCTATGTATGTTTATGGTATTCGTCGTATTGCGCATAGGCCCAGTTTTTCAAATTCATTGATAAAGTTTTTTGCGTCTCATAGAATTCCTAAGCGTACCTATACACCGAACTGTTATACCTAACTACTCTGTGAAATAGCGCTAAGTCCTAGCTACAAGACGCAAGAGTCTTGCCGGATTAGTCTTGTTCTTGCTTAAGTCTTGCACGGTCAGTCTTGGTCTTGGTCTTGCTAAAAATACGCGGTCTTGTTCTTGGTCTTGCAAAAATGCAAGAACAAGACCAAGACTGAATTTGGGCAACACTACCTCCAATTAGAGTTGGCAGGAATTTTTCATGCAATGTTTTGGTTAAGGGTTCAAAATGTTCTTCTGCATTTTTTACGACACTGTAACGTACCTTAGGAATCGTCCCATGGTTTCGACTATCATAGGTTCCATTTCACACATTTTATCATATAACACCATCGATATTCATCAGGCATCATCATATATTTTAACACGTAGTAGGAAAGACCATTAAACTGGGCTGCTTTTGTAAGGGCTGTGTAGGCAGCTTGAGGGGAGTCTATAGAAATCGCTGTTAATTTCGTAACGGCGGATATCCATTGGATTACATTGTTTTTAATGAAGTCGTCCTTTCCTTTCACTAGCTCTGTTGACCGAACTAATGGGAATTTTAATTCTACTAGTTCTGTTAACAGAATTGGAATAAGTACCGAGTAGTTCGGCTGAGATTTAATAAAGATTTCATGTATTGGTAGTGTAGTCAAAATACTGACTATTACTGACCACTTCATATCGTTGTTTCAATCATGAATGGTAATATCTGTGTTTAATAGATTAATTGCAACACTTTTAACTAGCTAAGTTAATCACAGAACTAGTGCAACAAAATTTCCCTTTACTCCGGTCAAAAAAACTAATTTAACCGCTGTAAAGCCGACCCTCCCATTAAAACATAGTGATTACCTTCTCTGCCTCTATCATGGTCTGCGGGACGCGGGAGGGGGACGTGTTTCCTTATAACAATGTTTATGACAAGACTAGATACATACTACACAGTCTATTTTAATGTGTAACAAATTATTACACTGTTTCATTCGTAATACTAACACAAATACTAACACTTTTTTATATCAAAAAAACACGGAGGTGTTACCCGCGATTTATTAGGGATATTTTCCCGAAGTAAAACGTAGCCTATATGTAACATCCGGGGTGTTGAGCTAACTCCATACCAAATTTTATTAAAATCGCTCCAAGCGTTTAGACCTGAAGAAGTAACAAACATACACACTTACAAAATTTCGCCTTTATAATATTAGTGTGATGAGATATCTCGCCGCGGCAGCAATTCCGTGTGTAGTGTACCCGTGCATACCCGACGCCGACGCCCCGCGTCCCACGGACCATCAGGAGGGTTTACGATTGTTATCCAATAGTAGAACTAAACGGAGAAAAAAAATCGATTTAGTCCTAATATCAAACGCACAATACTAGTACATAGGATAAAATGGACAAATACCTCTTTTAGAATTACGTTGCCCTGGTACTTGCATCAGATTTAATAATTTTTATTTATTTTTACATTCCAGAAAAGAAGCCCTAAAACATATATTTAAACTAAACTCGTTCTTGTTCTACAAGTAGTGTTCTACTATCATACGCTATTCAACTTAGAACATATGGTAAAG